ATCTTGGTCTTGTAATTCTGCGCTAAAAGTGAGATGGTGTAATTGTGGTGACCCTCCAACTACTATATAAGAAACCTATTAAGCTTACAAGAATCGCTATTATAGGGCCTAAATCAATGTAGAATCTGAATCGAGATGTTATCGTAAAAACATCTTCAATCATGTACAGGGGATGTCGCACTTCGGCCCTTTTTTCTTCGCAGAGATTGCAGTCGTTGACGGAAGTTCCTCAGCAAAATATTCCCTAAATGTCCCTCTATAAGTGACGCAGGCCCTCCTTCACTGCCCTCACCGTCTTCAGAATATGACGTCATCTGTCACTTCGTGTTGGATAGTTTCCTAGAGGCATTAGCTCCCACTATGCAAACCCCCTCGAAACTAGCTTTCCAGTAAAGGTCGTTATGGTACACGATCCTTCGAAGACCCCATTGAGCTCGACCAGTGCACCATGTTTCCAGGGCAAATTCTTCTGATGCCGTCCACGTAGGTGGCCACTATGAAGATTTTCTTATAGAATGGAATGCACTCTTTAATAATAAGTTGGAACCGTTCGGTCTGAATTGAGTAAGTGTGCTTAAATCCATCTGAATGTGGGACAGTCTTTTTTTATTGCTCCCCCCCCCCCACCCCTGTTAGTAAGACATACTTAGCCTTTCCACACGATGTTTGACCCACAAATAGATGTGAGCACAGGTGGAAGGAGAAGATGTATGCAAGATTAAGGAAATCCAGACAACTCAGCGGAAAAGACGAGTGTATGCATGAGACGTACGGCCGACTTCTTTGTGTGCGGGAGACTCTCATCAGTTTCTAGAAGGAGGAAGGTCCTCTGGCTTTCTCAAGGGGGTAGGGAGGGGGAGGGTCAGACTGTTGAAGTAGTACTATCATGCTTACCGGAACTAGTAGTGATGAATTAGTACTATCAGTGTGAACAGTAAAATAACGTTTGATCGGCCGCTTCGTACAGGAGCAGAAAAGCTCACGGGGATTCCGCTATTCGCTGGAAGTGTAACGCATGTAATTCCTAGCATTACTAACTTGTCAAATATTGTAATTGGAGAGTAAGGGAGTAAAATCAAGGAAGGCTAGTGTGTTCTGACTAAGAAATGGGAATCACATAAAATATTTCGCGGTGTTTCAAGGGCGCTGATCGGGCAGAAGTGAAGATGTTTAAGCAGCAACTTCGTGTGGAATCAAATTTAAAGAAGGTTGTTGTTGATTATCGACACATTGATGTGAAATTGCCTCTACAATAGTAAATCTTACTGATACCGCGCAGTTTTAAGGTATTGAAACACACGCCGAAAGAGTATATGGCAAACATCATACTGTATATTGATACACTTGAATACAATTCTATACCAGACTATGATCACATCGCTGCAAATCTTGAAGCTGCTATGGAGGTTTGCATCTGCCGTCTTTATTCTGCAAAAGGTTTCAGAGGCAAGGGTCAGAATCAACTGGCCTAGTTGTCCCACTTGACTATAAAAGGTGAATATACCAGAGGGGAAGAAAATTTTTGTAAGAGCACAGGAAGCACAAACCTACTCGCTCTACACCGTGGATAGGTACGGCGTCGACGGCTTGCATTCAGCGCTTTAGTGTGGCGTTTCGAGGTGCTGAGTTGTGGCAAGTTCCATAGTTGGGACCTCCATCCAAGCAGCGAATCTCTTTGGTGAGGCTGAGCCCGACCTTTACCCTTAAGTAAAAGTCGAGCTATCGT